TTTCCTGAAATTGAGGTGCACCTGCATATATAAACCTTTGTATTCGATTTCACTTCCAGCTCCCATTCGATGCTTGTCTCTTCTCATTACAACAATTACTTTTAAAATTTAATTTCACCAGTTTTATTCCATCCTACTGAAACAAGTACTGAATTTTAAGAGAATTATTTCTGAGCCTCAGTTGAGTGTCCAATGTTCCTTTATTCAGTCTTAGAACTATGGCAGTGGTAAGGATTGAGGTTGTCACAGCAATACCCCCAATGACATGAGACACAGACAGGACACTGAGCAGGAGAAATCCTCTATCAATCTTTCAAGGCCCATTAGAAATGTGTTTGAGTTCTCATTCTCTAAATAGTAGAGTGTGGAATTTTGTTATTTTTCATTTCTTATTTATATAGTAAACTTGGAAATAGAATATCCTCAAATATAGTGATGCTATAATAGGTTGTACACATCGCAATGCAGCTTACTTCTGAAAGCACACAATACGGGCTCTAAGAAGGGTTTAAAATTTGTGTTGACTTTTAAAATGTACAGATTTTTATCTTAAAGGCACGTGTGCTTTGCTTCCTCTTCTCCACCTTTTTACTGAAGGAACAAAAGTAACACCGTGTCTTTTGTGAAAAAGAGGCGGACTTTCAAGGCTATCACATATGCTGTGGCGTCCTGCCCAGACCCTTCCTGCTCAGGAGGGAGGCATCACTTCCCCTGATGCTGCAAGGTGGCGGCTCACAGCTCCCACTGAGTTGCTCTCAGGGGTTTGCCCTCAGCCACAGAGAGCCAGCCACACTAATTACCCCTTCCTGGGGACAGTGTAGCCATGACCAGTCAATGCTAGGAGACAAAAGGCCCCAGCTTCTGCTTCAAGACTGGGTGGCTCTGGAGGTCCAGTCCAGCCCCAGGGCTCCCTGCAGGATGCACCGAGTGCAAGCCCTCCATCTGCCCCACGTGGATACTCTCAGTTCCTCATAGATGTTGACCCCAGGAGCACTCCCCAGTTAACCTTCTCCACACCAATCTCTTCCTCACAGTCCATTTCCTGGGGCCCCAACCTAAGACATCATCATTCTTGTAAGACTTCCCTTGTTATAATTATCTTCTGAATGGTCTGTGAGAGAATCTCAGACTTCATACAAGCCTGATTCAGAGATAAAACTTAGTCCTATCTTCTTAAAATATTTGGCTATACGAGAATTTCTGTGTAGCTGGAACAAAATTGCGAAACAGAACTTACAAATGGGTATTTGACATGTGTGGACTGATGATTCCATCAAAAGTATGTCAAAGCATTGTAATCAAATGTAGTCACATGCACACACACAGAAGAGATAAACAGACTAAGAGACTTACAGAAAGAAATAAAAAATTTTCATCAGATTTTAAACTATTGTTAAAATACTAGCTGTGCATTCCTTTCTCACTTGAAGTACCCATTATTTTAAAATATTAGCAATAATAATTTGTTCCCTAAGAGTAATTAAATTGTGTTTTTTCTTCATTTTGCCTAACATACAGGAATAGTAATTCCGTTTTCCCTTAGGGTCCTCTTTGCTTCTCTTCCACTTCCATTCTGGGTTTCCCCACATTTATATATGAATTTGCACTGTAAATACAAGTAAGTATTCCAAGCATATTCCTCAAGTAGTCAGGGGTCAAGATTTTTTCTTAGAAGGGTTGTGTAGTTTTAGGTTTATTTTTAATTTATTTATATGTATTCCTACATAGATCAGTCAGTTTACAGAGATGCACACATATAATCCTATTATGCTTGCTTTTTTTCTCCCTTCATTGTATGATTCCCTTCCTTTGGCTTCTCCATCTTTTATTTTGGCTACACTCCCACCAAGGAACCCACCTTATCACCTATGTTCTTTTCTGCACTCCTAATACTTCATAGATTAATGCACAAATACAGTTATACACAGTGGAGAAGATCTTAGGTACACTCTCCTATGTTTTGTTTTCTCACCACTCTCTCTCTTTGAAGTCATCTGGCATAGACCTACTTCATTCTTTTTTTTAAAGTAACAATCCATTGTGTTACTATAACAGGATACATTCAACCACTCCACTTCTAAGAGATGTTTATTTTTAGGTTATTTTTTTGTCACTATATAAACAATGTTGCAATAAATAATACCCATCTGTATGAACTCGATTTTTAAATACCTTTGGTATCAATTTCTAAGAGTGGAACTGCTGGTTCAAAGGGCATATGTCATTTTAATATTAATAGGAACTGCCAAATTCATGTCTGAAAAGGTTATAAAATTATACATTTATATCAGCATTGTTTTACTCTATAAACATGCCCCCAACAGATATTGCAGTCTTTTCTAAATTTTTGCCAGTCTGATAGATATTACTTTGATTTGCTTTCTTAGTCTACTAGCGAATTTGAGCATGTTTTCATAAGATTACTGGCCATTTGGATTTTTTCTTTTGTGAACTGTCTCTTCATGTACTTTGCATATTTTTCTATTGTTTGTCTTATTATTTTTTTTAGTAATAATAGTTACCATTTATTCAGCGTTGTTTATGTGCATTCTCATGACAACCATGCTAAGTAGAAATTATATCCATGTTTTCAAAAAAAGAGATAGAAGCTCAGAGTATCTATATTAGCATCAACAGTTCACTTTTTTATAGCTGGAATTTCAATTCAAGGCTATCAACCTGAAACACTATGCTTTAAACAATTATACCATTCCTCAAAAGCATAATCCTCTTAAATCCTAATTTCTTAAGGCCAAAAACCCCTGAAGTTTCACACATTTGTAGATAAAGACCTGCTACTTACCTAATTTATCTGAACACTTGTAGTAAAGTGGTTTGTCTGAAAGAGACTGGGAGCATTACTATTTAATTATACTACTAATTAACCTCAACTATTTGTATAGCACATAAGAAATAACACTGCTCACATACATAAGAGAAAGCAGTTAATGAAATGTGCACTATTGCTTGTCTCTATATTGTCAATTTGTAAGAGCTTTTTGCTTTCTTTGTTAACCTTTGGTCTCTGATGTGTATATGGAATATTTTTCTAGATCTATCTTTGTCCATTGACTTTATTGGTGATATTTGTGGTCATATACTTATATTTTGGTCATTTGGTCATATGTATGGTCACTTGTAGCATTGTGGTATGTACATACTAAATATGTTCACATATGTATAAAACTATATATGCATATGTAAATATATATTAAAAACATATCAAATGCATGTACTTATATGTAAATATATGACATATATACCAAATATATACTAAGATACAAAAGTACAAAATATTAGTTTTTTCAGCATTATTTATTAAAACAACAACAAACAAAAACCAAAACCCACATACTTTCCTTGCTCCATTAAACCAACAACTCTATGAAGTAATCTTATATACTGACATCTCTTTTTGGATTCTCTATTGTGTTCTACTAAATACTATTTATAATATATTCTGATAGATGCTTCTGATAGAAAATGTTCTATTACTATTTCTTTGTACAGTTTCTTGGTTATTGCCAAGTAATTATTCTTTCAGCTGAACTCTGTTATTTTATCCAAGTCCAAAAATAAACCTCCACTGGGATTCTAATTGGAAATGCATTAAACTTATGTATTAATTTTGGAGGACTTAAAAAAACATTGCAATTTCATATACAAGAACATATTTGCCTTTTCACTGGTTTTTCATGTCTTTCATTAAGATTTAGTTGTGTGTTTTCTTACATTGCATAATTTTAGCTACTTTTATATATAGGATTTTTTTTCTTATTTCTATTTCTAGGTTCTTAGTGCTAAAAAAGAGAAAGTCTATTGATTTTTATGTTTATCTTTTATCTAACCATCCTACAATGTTTTATTAATATTGTGCTTTTTTCCTTGAATCTTTTGGGTTTTCTATATATACAATCATAACATTAGCCAAATGTAATTTTTATTTATTTTCCAAAAGATGTTTCCCTTACATTGTTCATTTGCTAAATCATTTAAAGCAATGCTCTTAAAAAAAAAGAATGGTGATAACAGGTTTCTCTAATTTCTTATTATGATTAAAATTATTAATTTTTTGCACTTAGGACACCAAAGGTTATTGGTTTGAGGTCAGTAATGTTTAGTGTAATTGAGGAGATTTCTTCTACTTTTGTTTTATTTAAGGTTTCTTTCTAAAAACAGCTACTGAATATAATCACATTCCTTTCAGTGACTATTGATTTGATTGCCTGATATTTTTTCTTTATTTATGTATAGGATTATATAGACAGATTTCCTGAGATTGAGCCATCCTTGCCTTTTTGTGCATGTGTTTACTTGCTACACTTATAAATTCCTAAAGAAATATTTATTATGATGTGTCAAATGTTAATAACTATAACTTAAAGAGTTCCATGATCAAGTTAATTTGAGAAACACAGAACCAAATAGAGTTAAATGGCACTGCCCAGTACCATTAAGCTAATGTGCATTGTCAACCTCCAAAAGGAGATGGGAGTACAAAATGTTAAATGAACTTTATTTGACTTCTATTTGCTGTGGACCATCCATGGGACTAGATTAGAGAGAACAAGGTTTGGGAAATATTCATATGGAGATTGTTCACTTAGAATAGCAAATAGTTTTAGCACATGAAACTGATTAAATCACGAGGGCAGAGGTAATGAATTAAAATGTCAGATGTAGAAGATGCCAAAACCATTTGGTGAAAAATAATCTAATTAATTAATAGTTTGTACCAATTATACTCACTTTGATTTATACAAGATTTTTCCCTGGGTAGGCCCAAATTATGGATGGCATCATACAGACCCATCTCAGAACACAGGGTGGTCCAGGAGCTACATGGAACCCCAGTTTCAGCTAACTGCTAATGTATGAGTCTAGGCAATGATGCAACCCCTACACTCATATCAACCCCTCTCTACTATGTGATCTCAACTCTCTCTACCATGGGATCACGACTATGATGACATGGGTGATGGCTTGCATGTGGCACTCACCAATGACATATTCCACTCTGAAGAGATCCCTTCTGGGGTCATATGGACGATTGAAGTCAACCTGGATGAGGAAAGGCTGCCCTCTACGTACAATCAAACTGTTGCTGTCATATTTGTCGGTGTGGTGATCCATTTTGTTGGCATCCCATTTCTCCTTGAACAGGTGAACATTCGTGACATTAAGGTAATCTATGCACAAAGAAAGCAATTGAGGGTAACCATTGAGTAATTTTGGTTTAATCAAAAACTCAAGAAACAAGATTATTTTCCCTGAAGAAGCAAGGTTGCATGGTCTTTTGGATAAAACTCTATACAGGGGGTTATAACTCAGTCTTTTGTGACATTCTTGCTTTCAAAGGGGGTTTTTTAAAAATGTTTTCCCCCCTCTCATCTCATTTCAGACTTCATGGTACCTACTGTAACAGACGGAGCGGTGCTGATGATACCGGTCATGTCGGTTCTAGATACTCAGGAGTTAGGACTGCAGTCTTCACCTTCCCAGTCTCCTGCTGGTTTTCCTGCACCAGGAGCTTCCCATCATGACCGCTGCCTCACTATGTCATTAACTAGGGGTAAGCAGGGAATACCCAATTTTCTTGTCTTTAAAAAGGGAGGAACCAAATCTTGCAAAGCCTCAAAGGACAAAGTTGGCCATGAATCCAAAATTCTTCCCTTACTTGAGGAAGGGCCAATTACCCCTCCTTTTGTAATTCCAAAAGTAGATCTGGTCCCTCAAAGGCAAGAAAGAGAGGGAGCAAGTAGAGAGAAAGGATACTAACATCTCATGGAGACAGGTATGTTTGCTTCCACTTTTCATAAGCAGAAACAAACTTCACATTTCCCTGGGTACTAAACAACCAAACTATACCCTGGTCAGATGCCAAAATCCACAGGTTTTCCCTCTGATGTTTGGAATTGGGAGTGAAAATACCAGCTGTACATTTACTTGAGTCATGATAACACTGCATAAAGGGTAGATGCCCTCCCACCTCTTTCCCATTCACTCTACAAATGATTTCTAAATGTGAAGGTAATCCTAACTACTCATCTCCACCATAGTTTAGAAAACCTAGTCTAGAGACTGATGACTGTGTCTGCATTTGGAGTTCTAAAGTGGCACTGGGGAGACAAAGCTGGGTGGGGGGGCTGTGCACTGGCTCTTGCCTCCCCTCCTTTCCCTGATGCTGTCTGCTACCTGACTGGTCCTCATGGCTATGAACACACTGTGCATGGAGTTCACAGCCACTGAGCTGGTATCCATGCTGGAACATCACCCTGTAAGACTTCAGTGGCTTCCTTTGTTTTTATTCAGAAATTCCATGTAGGATGCCCAGTCTCCTGCAGCCTCATTTTTTCCCCATAGGCAAAACCAAAATGTTGGTTTCATTAAGACTCTCCAGCTCTTTAGTCCAGGAGTCGCTGAAACACTCTTGATTAATTCACAGTCCAGGTAATCCTGAGTTTGAATTTCAGGTCTCATAAATACTTAGGTAAGGGACATTACCTTTCAGAAGCCCGGCTTTCTCACCTTTAAAATCAGGATACTAGCACTAAGAGAATTTCTAAGATTCAAGACATAATGTTGCAATAGATCTGGCACTATGCCTGGCAAACAGTGGAGCCATAGACTTACCTGTGGTTTGTTGAATATGGACTCCGACAGGGCCGTTTTGTATTTCACATGGCATGGCTCAGTAGGCTATTCTGACTGCAGCATTACAGCAAACAGAAAGTGCAAGATGCAGTTTTATTTTTACCTCATCTCAGAACCCTGCTGTAGTACATGGTCCCCTGAAGGGTACTTTCCTTTCATTATGCTGTGGTCTGAAGATGTTTAATTCTCTAGACCCCTCTTATCTAAGTTGTCTTCCCCCTAAGTTCTCTGGCCTTATTAAGGTCGCAATCCCCAGTGTTAAACCAGCTTTGGAAAGAGCTGGAGATTCATAAATGTCCCAGTTGAAAAGGACCTTAGTAATCAACTCACCTGGCCCTCTTTCTTAGCACTGTGCCTTTTAATAATGTTTTGTTTCGTTTTGTTTTAAATATCTAAAATATTAATCCTCAGAAATGGGCCAATCAGTTTTCCATTCATCATCATCAGTGAAGGAATATACTAATATTACAGCCTTACAGAATCTCAGAGGGCAAAGGCACTTTCTAGACTGTCTGGGAGGCCTGCTATGTGCTGCATGAAACATCTTGAAAGCCTACTGTTTCAGCTTCTCTCCTCTGCCCAGGAAACCCACTATCTCACAAGGCAAACAGTCCATTTTCAAACAACTCTGATTATTTGAAAAATCCTCTTAAGTTGAACTGACATCTGCTTCCTTGTAATTTTTCTAACCTCGGATCCTGGTTCTGACATCTGGATAAATATAGAATATATTCTATTCATTTCATCTAGTATTCTTTAGGTATAATAAGCCCGCTATTTGGGTTCCTCTGAGTGGAACATTCTCCATTTCTTCAACTGTTCTATAAAAAATAACTTTCAGAACTTTTACCCATTACTCTGTTCTAGAATATACTCTATTTTTTAAATTTCTCTCTTGTAGTGTTTTTCTTAGAATTAAGTACATGACTTGGGTTATAGTTTTTCCAATGAAAAACAATGAGACCATTACATGTTTCAAGATAAATAGTAAATAGTATATTTCTATTATGCTAGCCTAAGATTTCTTTAGTATTTGCATACTCCACTCTTATTGCTGATTTACATTAAGCATCAGGTGAAGCAAAACCCCTTCTCATGTCATTTCTGTCAGGAGTGGATTAAAATTCAATCCAAACCTCTATAAATCATTCATTCATGCTGTTATTTAGCCATATCTATTAATGCAATTCCTTTTAGCTCAATTTTTAAAGCCTTACATGTATTAATATTAAATTTCACCTTACTGAATTTGGTTAATTTGTCCAAGCTCTAAAGATAATTTTAGACCCTAAGCCTATGTTCAATATATTTAATATCCTCCTTAGCTTCCAGTCCTCCAGGAATTTTACAAGTGTGCTATTTATATTATCATTCAAGGCATGAATATAAATGTTCATTGAGTGAGTCAGTGCCTAATAAATACAGGCTAGATAAATGCACAGTGGAAGGTACTAAAAAAATGAGCAGATAATTACAATATAAAATCATAAATATTCTGATAAAGAAGTATAGGGTCCTAGGTGGGGAAGGGTATCTGGGAGGTACAGGGAGCCCCTAGCCAAGATTAGGGGGCATTCAAGAAGCTTCTTGGAGCAACTAAGGTATAAGTAGTAGTGAGAAAGACAAGCGGGTTATCTAGTAGAGAGAGGGGTAGGGAAGAATGCCTTAGGGAGAGAGGAGGGGAGTGAAGCCTGAGGCAGGAGAGTGTGCCGTTTACTTGAGAAGCTGAAGGGTGATTGCTTGGCTGGAGAACAGCAGTGGGACCGCTGTGGAAGGGCAGGCAGGAGCTGCTCGTCAAGCCTGCTGACCGTGTTAAGGGGTTGGGACTTGAATTGCACTGGCACTCCTGTGAAGAATCTGAAATAGCAACCTGACATGATTTTATATATATATTTACACTGGTTCTGGTGACCGAGTAGAAAACGAATTGACTGTGGCAGTAACGGGGGCAGGAAGGTCAGAGGCCTTTGCAGCATCCCAGGTGAGAGATGTGTGAGTCTGGTTTGCCTGTGAGGAATGGATGCTCTGGTCCTGGGGCACCGCCAGGGTTTGCCTCCCCTCACCACACCCCTGCTCCCATAATAATGTGCCCCTGAAAATGAGTATATTCGCTTTACGCCTTGGCTTCCCAACCGGCTCTATGTCCAGGGAGAGAGAAAGCTGGAGAGAGAAATTTCAAGTATTTCTTTAGTACTTAGTTTTTATTGCAAATGAAAACTGACTTTCCAGTTTCATATACCTGTCTGGTGAACCTGGCTCGTGTCTAGTGGGTCTGGCTGCAGTAAGTGTATCCTTGAAGTAGTGGAGTGCAGGACAAGTTCTGTGGGATAGTGATAGGTACTGGGAAAAAAAGCATTCCATGGTCCATGGTTAAACCTATTTGGGAAATGCTGGCTTAACCAAATTTACCACTCTTTGCAAAAGAGTGGTAGTGGATTAAATGAGAAAATCCTACATTCCCTGTCTTCCAAAAGACAGGCTTGCTTCTCTTTGCCTGGATTTCTACAGATTGGTGGACTCTTTCTCCTCTTGATTCCCAGAATATATTTTTCTTTTTCTTAAAAAAAGAAAAATCTATCATTAACCACTTTGCATTATCTTAATATAGGTGACTTTACCTATGGGACTATAAACCCTTTGAGGACCAGACCATGTCTTAAATATCTTGTCACCATGTGTGGGACAAAGTGCAGCAGTGCCATTGTAATTATGCTACTTTTCACTTTAGGCAAATCTAATACCTAAAAATTTGGAACTTGGAGTTGGTTATTCATTTTTAAATTGATTATTTCTTTTATCATAGGATTTACCATAGGAGTCCATTAAATATCATTTACTAGAAAATTTCATTCTTAAAATATGCTCATTTCAGGGCTGTATATATATATATATATATTATATA